TATATTTTTTTTTTTTTTTAATAATCCAATTCAGTACAAAAGCATAAAATGATTCTAGCCTAGCACTTCTATCCACTGAATATTTAGTTTTTTGTTTGACAGAAATAAGACATCAGTGCCATTGACTTTAGATGAGATTAACGTTGCCCATGCAGCATTATTTCAGACACTCAGAGACTCTTACGTAAGCGATGCTCAGAATGAATTTCCCTCTGGTGTCCAGCGAGTGCTCCTTTTTCCCCACTTTCCACGCCGAAGATGTTGACCTTCCCTAGATGGCTGCCAGTGGCAATGTATTTGGAGTCAGGAGAAAAGGCAACCGTCCAGGCGTCAACTGCAGATGGTATAGAAAGAGTTCATCAGTGTTATTTTAGTGTATTTATATACTTATATTTTTATGTTTTCATTCAATTTTTTTAAATTGTAATTTGTAATTGTAAAAGTCTTTTTTCTGTCTATATACTTTTTTTTTAATATTAAGTTTACATTTATTTAGTTCACTTTTAAACTTTTAGTTTTAGTATTTTATTTCAGCTAATGCTTATTTTAATTCAAGCATTAAAAATGGTCTGATATTCATTTTAGTTAATGATAACCTTGCGTCACACTCGCGCATTTAAAGCGATCTTTAAAAATAAAAAATAAATACATTCGCAGCTCACCTGGGCCTGCGTCCATGGACTTAATCTGTTTGCCCGTCTCCAGATCCCAGAGCCGAATATGAGCATCAAGAGAGCTGGAGGCGGCAATCGCTCCATTTTGACTGATGTCCACCGACACCACACCCAGCTGGTGACCCTCCAGCGTCCACTGCAGCTCCAGCTTTTCATCCGACCTGCGAGCCATCACAACAAGTGACGTATGTTCAGAAACAAACACTTTTTTAATCACTAGCTGATGCTTTGATTGCACTTTATTCACTGATTTACCATTTCCACACTTTTACCAGGTCGTCCAAAGAGCCGGTCACGATGGTTTCTGACCCGTCCTTCTCGCTGCGACCCCATGCCGCGGTCCAGATGGCATCTTCGTGAGCTGCAGAAACACAGAGATTCTTTGGCTGTGCCCAAATATGTTGCCCAAAAAATATTTTTGGCCTCTA